ATAATATAAGTGCTATCAATCTAATATAGATGAAGAATTCAATTGTTTATTCAATTTTCATTAAGAATTTAATTGATTTAGTTTTCAATTTGAAATAAATCAGTATATTAAAATTTGTCATTGTTGATTTAGTCCATTAATAAGTTTAATTTTGGGATGATTCCAAATTATTTTAGGATGTTGAGTACGATTTATGAACATCTTTTTCAAAACTAAGCCATTGATGCTTCATATAGACATTTCAAATTTCATATTATTTAGGCCATTGGCATAAAATAATATTTAATGTTCTTTGAGTAGATGCGACAATACATAATATTATTGGGCTTAAAAATTTTACTAGACGATTAAACCCGAACAAACCGTCTAAATTTACTCGCGATCTGCATAGACCCAACCCACCTAAACCGATTCCATCCATGGTTTGGCTCGGGTGGCTCTTTTGTGCCCGAACCCGCCTAATCCAATCTATTATCCACCCTTAAGCTAGACATTTAAAACATTATTAGGCTGTCTTATAAAACAATTGAGGCTTCAAAAGGTTTTTGTGTGTGCGTGTGCGTGTGTGTGTGCGCGTGTGTATCTAAGTGACCAGGAGTTACTCTTATATTTTTATAATACTCTGGTCACTTAGATAGACACGACCTAACAAGCTTTCACACCTTTTCTTTTTTACAACTCTGAGGCTTCAAGTCCCTTTGCCAGATACATCAATTATATTAACACTTTACTAAAACCTTGATCTTCTTCAGATGAGGTTTAAGATAACTCTTTAAGATAAACACCATCATCAGACCAACATATCAAGCACCATCACTTGATTAATATATCAAACATTATCACTTGATCAACATATCAAGCATCATCACTTGAATCAACAAGCCTCAAACAATAAGACTGATGAAAACTTCTCTTTGTAAATCACGAAAACCAAATCAATAAGTAATTGCATACTTCTTACCTACAAGTAGAGTTGTCAAAGTGGGCTAGCTCATATGGACCAACCCGCCAGACCAAGACAATCATAGGGCTTAAGCCTTAAAATTATAGCCTATATTTTTCAGGACTTTTTTTAGCCCAACCCTAAAAAGCCCACTATCATTAGGGCTAGTCTATTAGACCTGCATAACTATAAAGTTTGAAAACTTATATTATATTTATATTGTCTTACTCCAAAATAACATATTGAATTTTCTTACTTCGCTAAATTTTATCTCTATTATATTCAATCTTTCTCTTTTAACTCTTATACATTAATATAATCAACACTCTTTCCTCGTATTTTATTAGTTTCTCTTATGTTAAATATTCGAGTATTATTTTATACAATTTTGACATGTGTTGTATTTAAAAACACATTATAGTATTTATAAAATATATTATAGTAATTTAAAATGTATTATGTTTAAGGGTAATGTTAACTTGTCCCCTTGGGACACATGTTAAAACGAATAAAATCAATAAAATCATTAATTATAAACATGTATTAAATTCAACACACAATTTCCAATTTTTTTAATACTATATTTATCTCTTAATGTGGGCCCTTGGGGTACAAGTTAGCATTACTCAGATTTAAAATAATATAATTTTTAATTTTATTTATAATTAATACTATGCGGTGTTTATTTAAATTATTTATTAAAAATGCCCATTTAAGGTCGGGTAGCCCGAAACCCATATAGGTCGGGCTCGGGTAGTAATTTTCGAGCCCACATAGATCCACTTCACCGACTTATCTGAAAACACTATATCATGATGAGATTTCCATAATGACCAAACAATTGCATGCAAGATCATAAAAGCCCCCCTAATCCTAGGCATTCCACCAAGCGGATAAAACATCTGAAAAAGATACGTAAGATCTCTAGATAAAACTAGACACCAACCCAACCAACTAAAGATCTTATGACAAACATAAGTTGTTATCTAACATGTCACAAAAATTGAAAGGACAATTCGGTGGATCCCAAACATAAGGGATAAGTGACACCCCCAAAAACCAAAGACACCATATCTTAAATAGTTCATCTATAATGGAAATATTATCTTGAATAAGCTTTTAGTAAAACACAAGGAATTTAGAAAGGGTCCATCTACCGCAAATACTATGGATAACCAAATCCACAAAAATAACCTAACAATCACCAAGAAACTCACGAGCGAGAAGACTCTAATAAGTAGAGGCTACAATATAAAAGATGTCCTTAAAATAACTCTACCACCACCTATCACTCTCTAAGGAAGGGGGTAAAATCCCAAATAATTGATAGAAGATTAACTATCAAATCCAAATCTTAATAAAATATGGGGGTTCTTCTCCACTTAAGATTCTATACCCAAACCTTATCCTCTGGTCCTCCTAACCTTCTCCACAGACTAGTCAACCTATTCGGAGATAGAGAAAAGCTTTGGGAACCTAACACTAAGAGGAGTATTTTCAACTCGAGGGTTTTTTAAGAAAGAATTTAGAATACCATATTTAATTTTCTTATGGAGGCTAGTCATAAACCAGTTTGAGAGGTCCTCAACTTTGGGCCCAATGAGAGACATTCCTCTCCACCAAAGAGACACATATAAAAGACAAACAACTCTACCACCCGTGATAAAAGAAACATGAATGGTTCCATATCTAGCAGATGAAATATCACGTTAGAGTCCAGAGGCACTCGAGATAAGCTACCACCTCTACTTACTTATGAAAGCCGAGTTAACCAACTGAAGATCTCAGACACTGAGACCTCTTAACTTATTAGGTTTACACACATTAGGCCACATTACCCAAACAATCCTAGAAACCCTTTTCACCCCTCCATACAAAAACTTTATTTGGATTTTCACTATCTTTTTCCACACCTAACATGCATCTTTAGGAAAGATATAAAAAAGATATGAATGCTATTAAAAATAAAGTTTATAAGGATCACACTCTCTCCCCCATGGAAACATACCAATGATTTAATGAAATAGGTTGCATAATAATAATATTAAACAAAGGTTCCCACGTTGATTCCATCTAAATGTCGGCCCCCACCAGAAGACCAAGGTACTTAAACAGAAGAGACTCTTAGTTACAACAGAGTAAATCACTCGCTGGGTCCAAGAAAAGAGGGTCAATATTAACCCTTATGATAATGCTCTTAGAAAAATTTACCTAAAGGCCCAACTCTAACTAAAAACCCCGAAGAATAGCCTTGATGAACCAAAGACTCTCTATGAAAGTATTTTCCTTAATAATTGTATCCTTCGCATACTGAAGATGGGAGACCAGCAAATTTGAAGAAGTAACTCTGAAGCCTATGAAAAGCTATAGGTCTATAGCCATAAAAAGAACCCACTAAGACCTTATGCCACCAGAAAGAAACAAAAAGAAACTAAGGGATCGCCTTGCTCCAGACCCCTTTGGAGACTAATTTTTTGGGTCAAGCAACCATTAACCAAGACTACAATTTTACTAGAAAACACATAAACACGGAACCAAATACCATTAAGCAAGACCACAAGATTACTGAAAAACACATAAGCATGAAACCAACCTCCCCACTTATCATTAAACCAAAATTTATGAAGCATATAATTTAGCAAGGACCAACTAACTAAATCATAAGTTTTCTCAAAATTCACTTTAAAAATAAAACATGATTTTTCATTTTTCTTAGTTAGATCCAACAACTTATTCACAACAACTAATAACAAATTTTAATAACTCTTTAGAGATATAGGACATTTGTCTCAAAAGTAGTGTTTATAAATTATAATTAATATATTACAATAATAATTATTTTATACAAAAAATATAAAAAAAACTAAATAGTGATAAATAATTGACATATACGAACTATAACAATGTTAACAATGTTTTTTTGAATGATTAGCTAATAAAAAAAACAATGTTAACAAAAACGCGATGTGATAAAAAAAAAAACTAAACCGACATATAATAATTTATTACTTTCTAGCCTATTTCTTGTGAAGTCCCTTAGTTATATGGGGTGTAGGCGGATAAAAAAAATTGATATTTCAAATTAAATTAAATGAAAAAATTAATTTTTTTGGTTGAGTTCAAAAATCGAATCAAACTGAAAAAAAATTGAGAAAGTTTGATTCGGTTCTTGATTTTAATTTTTAAAAACCGCCAAACCGATGACTCAGTCATCCATTTTTGTGTTTCAAGTTATCTTGGTTAGTTTTCGTCTCATTTTTATTTATATATTTTTTCTTCTTTTTCAACGAAATTCCTTATAATAATATTGTTATAAAATAGTTTTGATGCATATTTAAGGTGTGAAGCATGATAACTTGTGTATGATAATATTTTATTGTTAATTATTATTGTTGTGTTTTATTTGTTACTCCTTTGTATGAGTTAAATACAACTTCTAAATTGTTTATAAAGTAAACATGAAATAGATGAAAAAGATTATAAAAAATGTATTATTCAAAAAAATTATAGTAGAAAATACATTAAAATATATGATAATGGAGAATATACAAATTAATATAAAGTTTGAAAAAATAGCGATGTAAACCAATCAACCGAATCAAACTCGTTAGTTTAATTTGATTTCATTTTTAAAAATACTAAATATCAAACCAAATCAAACCGATAAAAATATTATCGGCTCACACATTTTTTTTAACAAAAAATTGAGCCAAACCAAATCGATTACACCCTATAGTCAGAACTTAGAGATTAACTCTATTACCACGTGAATCACACTTCATAAAAATATTTTTTTTATCAAAATAAAATAAAATTCAGTGACTGTTTATGAAAACGAATTGAAGAACTCGCTGAGTATCTGTATTGGACTGATTTGCTACGGCCCAAGAATAAATACAAAGACAGCAACGTGGGCCGGGTCTGTTAACCCTAACGAGGCCCATCAATTTCATGAAATAGGGTACATTTATAAACCAAAAAACTCCATCTTTTAAACCCTAATCTTCTTCCTCTCCCAGCCTCCTCCGAAATCAATTGTTTGCGGAAGAGAGTAGCCATGGTGAAGTACTCCCAAGAGGCCGACAATCCCACCAAATGTAAATCCCCTCTCGCTTTCTTGATTCTTAAAACACTATTATATTTAATTTCTATTAGATTTATATTATAATTGTTGTTCGTTCAAATCAATATTTACATTGAAGTTTTGATTTTATATTAATTTAACCTAATTCGTGATTCTCCGTTGTAATTGCAGCAACGAAGGCCAGAGGTGCTGACCTTAGGGTTCATTTCAAGGTACTTATTTCTGTTACATTTTGTTCATCACTCATATAGTAAATCGGAAATGATAGATTGTTTTGTTTTATTAATTAAATGTTTTTCATGTACAATAATCACTAACTAGAATAGTTGATCTACTGAATTTGTGTTTAAAATTTAAATTAATCTCTTAAATCTAATTATCATTTTAATTTAAATCATGCCCCTGCTGTAAATCCCTTTCGTTGATTTAATATACATTTGTTATTGTTTTTATTTGATAGTTAAATTTAGATTGATTTATTTGTTTTGGTTGTACTATGTTTTATCAGAAATGTTAGATTTTGTTTTTAAAATTATTTTGCAGAACACTAGGGAAACCGCGTTTGCGATCAGGAAGTTGCCACTCACCAAAGCCAAAAGATACTTGGAAGATGTTTTGGCCCACAAACAGGCTATTCCTTTCCGACGATTTTGTCGTGGTGTTGGGAGAACAGCCCAAGCCAAGAACAGGCATTCTAATGGGCAAGGACGTTGGCCTGCCAAGTCTGCTAAATTTATTCTTGATTTGCTCAAGAATGCTGAGAGTAATGCTGAAGTATGTCTTTTGTGTTTTTAATTTGTTATTGACTTCTATATGCATCTATTTTACTTGCAAATTGATGTTTTAAACTAACTTTCATTTGCATTATTCTATTCACTGTCTACTTTCAGGTGAAAGGTTTGGATGTCGATGCACTCTATGTTTCTCATATCCAGGTCAATCAAGCTCAAAAGCAAAGGCGTCGTACTTACAGGGCTCATGGAAGAATCAATCGTATGTCAAGCCTCTCTTACTCTTTGAATGAACTCTATAATGTTCTAATATTTTATTTCTTATATATTTGTGTTTTTTTGGTCAGCTTACATGTCATCTCCATGCCACATTGAGCTCATATTATCCGAGAAGGAAGAGCCTGTCCAGAAAGAGGTATATTTTGGACATTTTGCTGTTAAAAATTGATTTATCTGCTGCACCAAACTTATTTGTTTTTATTCTTGTAGCCTGAGACCCAGTTGGCAACAAACAAGAAGAAGTCTCAAGCTCTTCGAAGTGGTGCTTCGTCTTAGATTGTTGTTTGAGCTTATAGTTGAGGGACCTTCATCTCTAGATTATGTCATTTTTGTTGCACTTTCTTTGTTATGAGCTGTTTTTGAAGTTTGAACAGCAGTTTTTGATTCATACACTATGGTTTATCTTAATTGACATGTTTGTTAAATTTTATGATGAGAATTGCATGATTGATTTGAGTTTTATTTATACCTTTTGTCTGTGCCTTGTTGCTTAGTTTGTATGTTGTTTCCTTCGTACGTGTTTAAAGAGTTGCGTGTTTTCTGGATTTGGCCCCTTAGGATACCGCAAATCTATCTTTCTGATTGCCATCCTTTCTCTTGTTAGTTCTACTTGTTAGTCCTACTTAATTTTGTGAAAATCATTTTGTTTCAAAAATTGAGTTTACGACAGAATCAGTTTTAATATTTTTTTGAATAGTTTAGTTGGTTGAGTTTGAGTTCAGTGTAATTCTACTTAGATAAGTTTTAGAAACTGATTTAAGCTCCGATTGGTTTCTATTGAATTTGTATGAGTTGAAACTAGAACATTTCAAAACATATCGAGTATGGTTGAGAAATCATACCATTATAGCCAACCACCTGGCTCAATCCTTCCTTGTTATTTGAGCTCTTATCGACAAGACATTACGCATAAACTTAGAAAACTTAGAAAACTCAAGACTTATTAAAATGACTAGCAAATTTATTTAGATGACAAGTAAATTCGCTAAGTTCTTTTATTTATTATAATGTTCTAAAATTGAAAAATATTCATTTTAAACATTATCATATTATTATTATTGCCTAAAACTTAAGTTATTTATCTTATTATTACTATTAAACTCAATTTAGATTAATGGAATATTTAATATATTTGATTTATATATAATTTGGATACATTAGTGTTTTGGACTGAGTCAGGCTGATTCACAATTGGGTGCAGTTCAACCCAACTCTTTGTCGAAGAGGGTCTAATGAAAATCCAATCTAACAATTCACACAGGGTTTTCATGTGCTCCTCGCATGCGGACACATCAACAACCAACTATCCGCGTCTGAGAGAACATGTCACCCACCTTTCGGATATCTGTGGGTAGTTGGACTAGGATGAAGACCACATGCTAATCTTTTCTACGCCACGTAAATTCTAGGAGCTCACGACGCGTGCTATATGTTGATCTCTTTCTGGTCCGTAAGATCAGTGACCCTATTTGTGGGAAACTTCTGCCTTCTCGTTCTTTCTTCCTCAAAAATAAAAATACCAAAGCATCTTAACATCCATCGATTAGGGCTAGCCCACGCGTTGACGACAACCTCCACAAAACCGTTTTCACCAGTCGGGAAAGGTGACCTCAGGGACGGGGGCACTGCCTCTCGTTCCTCCAGCGACGCGACCGACAACGTCGTCCAACGGTTTGACAGTCTTGCTGTTTTTCAGCCAATTTCTGTGTCGTCCAACGCCGATCCGACCATGGCGGCTTTGTTCACGGTGATCAACCAGACAAACCTGATGATGTTCCAACAGAACGAACAAATCAAGATGCTGGAAAAAGAGCGACAATCACGCTCTCCCTCACGGAGATATAGGCTCCCCGTTTCTCGCAGCCCATCTCTGAGACGGCGAGAAACACGTCTTCTTTCTCCCCCGCATAGACATTAACGGGACGAATCTCGAAGCCCTTCGCCACGACAACATGGACGTCACCCACGGTATTAGAGAGACCTCAACCCGTAGCAACTCAGAAGCGCGACTGCAGTCCTCCCCGGAAGGAGCGACGAGCAGTTGGGGAAAACAAAGAGTCGACCAAGCAGCCCTCCACACCGCGGCAGAACCCCTCAGTACGACCCTTCCTTGTTGCGGTCACTAGTCAGAAGCGACTAGTTCGACCCCTACACTCCGCTATCTAGATCCATCATGGAGACTCCCCTCGCCTTCGGTATGGAGAAGCCACCGACTCTGACGACCTACGACAACACGACCGACCCGGACGACCAATTTGAGAGCATCAATGCAATACTCGACTCCTGCAACGTCCGGGGAGCCATAAAATGTCGGCTCTTCCCGACGATCCTGAGGAAGGGCGCAGTGGCGTGGTACAAGAGCCTCGAGCCCGAATCTATCCCTTCCTAGAAAGAGCTGAAACGATAGTTCTCCAGGCACTTCACCGCCTCTCGGCGACATCCGAAGACGGAGGCATCCTTGGAGGTTATCATTCAAAAGAAGGACAAATCTCTCCGGGACTACATAGAGAGATTCAACCGAGAGGTCGTCAAGGTGTCCACGACAGACAACATGAAGGGATACTTGATCGAGCGAGGGCCACGACCCCGCAACAATTTCGCTAAGCCAATTGGTATCGAAAAGCCCAACACACTGGACGAACTCTTTGACAAGGCTCGCTCGTACATCCAATACGAGGAGAAGGTGGCTGCCAACAGTGCCCGCGACTCGCGGAACTTGTAAGGTACCAAAGTATTTAGGAACGAAGAATCGATCGCTCCCTGGCGTAGCGGGGACAAAAGAAGATAAGACCAGCTCCGCGACTCCTGACAACACCGGGGGTCAGCAAGCCGTTTCACCAAGTATATGCTACTCACCGCTCTCAGCGAGCACATCTTCGCAGAGTGCATCAACTCAGAGTTCCAAAGAGGTAGGGTCCGCTTTCCAAAACCAACGCCTTCAAGCCCAACGTCGACAAGTTCAAATACTTTCGGTTCAACCAGAGTCACAAACACGTCACAGAAGATTGCACCCATCTCAAAGACGCCATCAAAATCCTGATCAAGAAAGGGCACGTGAAGCAATACACTAGGAGAAACGAGGCTCCCGGACAAGAGACCCGCAAAGCAAAAAAGGTCGAGGAGGCGATGCCACTCTCCGGCGAGGCCGGGCTCTAGGTCACTCTGTGCGTCTTTCGACCAGAGGACTCATACCTTCCCTACGAGCCCGACACACCTCTGTCCTCTCGCAACCCTTGGGAGAACTTCTCAGTCACGACAATCATATCCGGCGGGGGTCCCAACAAGCTCTCAGTAGGGTCGATCAAGAGAAAGTTCGAAGAGCTGATCGACAAGAGCTCGAAGCAGAACTCTATCCTCGATAGGTTCAAGAGTAACTCGAACCCGATCACATTCTACCTCGAGGAGCTACCAGGTGACGCCCCGAATTCAACCACCCCTATGCTGATCAGGGCCCGGATGGCGAACTTTGACGCCCGCCGCATTCTCGTCGACCAAGGGAGCTTGATAGACATATTGTACGCCCACCTGTTCACCACCCTCCAGCTCGACGAGAGCCACCTGACGCTGTATGTAGGTTCTGACTTGCAGGGCTTCAATGGCACGACCATGAGGCCATAAAGCTACATGGAGCTGCTCGTCACCTTCAGATCCGAAGAGACGGCGAGGCAAGTCAAGATCCGCTTCTTGGTGATAGAGTGCCCTTCTTTGTACCAATGCATCCTGTGAAAGCCGGCCCTGGCCAAGCTGACTGCGGCGCCTTCCATCCTCCACGGAGACATTGAAGCGACCAAAAGATGTTTCGAAGCGGCCACCAAGGGGCTCAACTCAATCAACATACCACCCAAGAGCGCCAACAAGCCAACGCAATCTGAGGAGCAGAAGCCGCTTCCCCGCGTCAACCCTATCGACCACGACATGCACTTCCCCAGGAAGTAGGAGCAGAGCGAAGCACCGAAAAACACACCTCCAACAAATGGCAGTAACGGGAAGCACTCCATTCGCGACGGAGACTTCGAGCTCATCATTCTCGATGACGACCCCGACATAAGGGTGAAGATCGACACAGGGCTCCCGGACCTAGCGATGAAGCTGTTGAAGGTCTGCCTCAGGGAGAATGCTGACCTGTTCGCGTGGAGCACTACAGAGATGCCCGAGCTTGAGCCCGACATAGCCTGCCACCAGCTCACCATAGACCCAACCACTAGGCGTAAGCAGTCTACCGAGAAAGCGGAGGCTGTTGAAAAGACTGTAAACAACCTCTTAGAGGCAAATTTTATTTCCAAAGCCGAATACACAACATGGCTGTCCAACGTTATACTAGTTAAAAAATATAATAGAAAATAGAGACTGTGTGTTGACTATACTGATCTCAATAGGACATTCCTCAAAGATGCATATCCATTGCCTAACATCGACAAAATGGTAGACAATTCTACATGTTTTAAATTACTGTCTTTCATGGACGCGTACTTGGGATACAACCAAATCCCTATGGTGAAGGCCGACAAACAGTACACAACTTTCATGACCGAGTCGGATAATTATTACAATAACGTAATGCCCTTCGGTTTGAAAAATGTCGGCGCAACCTACCAACGTATAATGAACAAAGTCTTCTAGGGCAAAATCAGAGACATGCTCGAGGTCTACATGGACGACATGATCGTGAAATCACGGGAAGAAATTAACCACACCGTCCATCTCAGGAGAGTTTTCGATACGACAAGGAGATGCAGAATGAGATTCAACCCGGAGAAATGCACCTTCGGTGTCTGAGCAGGAAAATTCCTTGGCTTCTATTTAACGGAGAGAGGAATCGAGGCGAACCCCGAAAGGTGCAGGGAATTTTCCGAGTCCCCGACGTCAAACTCGTAGAAATCAATCCAATACCTAAACGAGATGCTTGCCTCACTGTCCCGGTTTGTGGCCAAGTCTACCCAACACACGCTCCCATTTTTCAAGATTTTGCGCAAGGAGGCCATGTTCAAGTGGACAAAGGAGTGCGAGCGAGCCCTCATGCACCTCAAACAAGTCCTCTCGCAACTTCCAGTACTCTCATGACCGGAAAACGGGGAGACTTTATATTTGTACCTTGCCGTTGCAACTGAGATTGTCAGCGCGACTCTCATTTGTGAAACTCCCGAGGAACATAACCCAATATACTTCACAGGCAAATCCCTGCAGGACCCTGAGTTCAGGTATCAGCAGATCGAGAAGGTAGCCCGGACCCTCACCAACAAGGCTAGAATGTTGTGGCACTACTTCCTGGCCCACAC